TAGCGGGCAATACAACCTCGTAAGTACTATGATGGAGGCTGTCTGTTGTTGCCTCTGCATTACAAAGGTTTCGCCTGGTCTGCTGATGGACCAAATGCTGAGATGACCACAAAAGTGGTTCGAACTTCCCGCACGCCCAATCGTTTATGCTCTTCTCATAAGCGCTCAAGGGAAACTCAGCACAGCTTCACGATGTTTGGCAGGCTGGTTTTCAAAGCCTGTGCAGTTGGGTAGTCTCGTTTGTGGTCCGCAGTGATGATTGGTACTTTACTGGAGGCACCTCTTGCCCCTTGAGGCGTAGCACTAGGAGAGAGAATGGAGGATAATTCATGATAAGGCTAACCTTCAAGGCAGTAGAGAAAAGGCAGAGGGCAATGACATTCAGCCTTTCTCCTTTGCTCCTCTCGGGGTCTCCACGGGTCTTGCGCTGCTCGCAGTTCTGCCGTTGCTTCTCGCCGATCCCTGAACTTGACGTTGTCCCCGTGCATTAGGACCTTGCATAGCACGAGTTGCAGGCTAGCCAAGTAGTACCCAACGAGCTCCGCTACGGGCTTCTGAGTCACCCCCTAACGATCTTCGCAAAGTCGGCTGATTATGCTGTGTGGTCCCGTTGTCACAGACTAGCTGCAACATGCCGAATAAGTGCCGCGTGTCTCGTACTGCAAGAACGTAGTAGCATGCCACGCTCATTGCTTCACGTTCGCAAAAGTGTCCCTTAGCTAAATGCTTTGCATGAGAGCATAATGTTTTGAATATCCCCCTAGAGGGCTCCCAGAGCAGCGATAGTCCAAGCCCACCTTCGTATATCGCATTACTGCTACGTGGAGAAACGTTCCCACGATGGCGAATGTTTCGTGTGGAAGCAGCCGAAACGTCGGTATGATCCGTCACTACATGCCTTAATGGAGGAAGACGCTCTGCAGCCGCTCCAAGTCAAGCTTCAACCTAGCAATTTTGACGGCTGGGTCCATTAGTGGAAGGGCTCCTGCTTGACGTCTACCAAATGCATTCGCGTGCATGGTCTTATTGGTGTCTTGGCGAGCCCTATTGGGATGACAGCCCTCCTCATGACCTGCGTGAAGTGGCTCGCGAACGCTAGGCAGCGTAGAGGATCTGTGACCATGAACCCGCTTCGCATGTGCCTGGATGGCGCACCGAAAAATGCTTGATAGTAGAGACTCCTAAATTTAGGGTACTTCCCGATACTTTCATGCTAGTTGGGCCTTTGAAAATTTGAAAAAAAAACCCTAAACCTAAACCCTAAAGACAGTTTATACACACTAAAAACGTCGGAACAACACCATCCTACGTCCTACGTCCAGGATCCGAAAGAGTAAAGCGTTTCACTGAGTGCCTCTGCATGATAATTTTTTCCTTTTACATTGTCAGCCCACAGATGCTGAATAGAATGACACTAAGCTACGTTTTAGTGCTGCACGCTACAGGCTCGAAGTGGTTGCGCCTGATGCCTCACCAAGCTCTATGCAAAATTAGGGTCGTACCACTAGTCGCCAAGTTGTATATACTCATGCTTGAGAACTTGTAACTTAATTCCGGTGCCGCGGGATAACGTCAATAACGTTCCTTTTATCTGGGATCACGGCTGACTGCTGCACGCTCTCCAACTGCTGCTCCGAAGCTCATGCATTCAGAAGATACTTGCGAATTCCCTCCTCCAAATTTCGCTGCAACATTTCCCGATTCAGCATGCAAGACAAGAAGTCTTGGTGCTCACTCTACCTCCAATTCTACCTGACTCACTACACAGGCGTCAAGGCAACGAAATTAAATATTTTAAAGAAGATTGGAGTTCATACCATGAATTATCCTCCATTCTCTCTCCTAGTGCTACGCCTCAAGGGGCAAGAGGTGCCTCCAGTAAAGTACCAATCATCACTGCGGACCACAAACGAGACTACCCAACTGCACAGGCTTTGAAAACCAGCCTGCCAAACATCGTGAAGCTGTGCTGAGTTTCCCTTGAGCGCTTATGAGAAGAGCATAAACGATTGGGCGTGCGGGAAGTTCGAACCACTTTTGTGGTCATCTCAGCATTTGGTCCATCAGCAGACCAGGCGAAACCTTTGTAATGCAGAGGCAACAACAGACAGCCTCCATCATAGTACTTACGAGGTTGTATTGCCCGGATCAGTCTGTTCCCTCCAAAAGCTTGACGAAGGCGAGCTCTATGGCGGCCTCCACAGTTGGCTGCCTTGCACGTAATCGCAGTTTGAGGACTACCTGCTCATTTTCGCCCTCTTTCACCTTTAATCGCGATAGATCCCAGCCACGAAATTGAGAGGGCTTCAACACAGGTGGGTCCATGGGATGGATTCAAGCGGCTTCACCGTCTGCCCACTGAATTTCGACTAAAGAGCTGATGGCACGAAGTTCTAAACCCTGCCAAATGTACTGCAGCGCTCAACGAGTCCTCTTGTGGATGTTTGAGTTCCTGGGTCTTGGCTGTGCAGTGTACATTTTAGGGAAGGTAGTAGTAAACTGCGATCGAAGAGGCCACTTTGCAGCTCTATTTATACATGCATGTCCTGCCGACTTGTCAAGCTTAACAAAATGCAACGCATTCTCTTCCCGACTGGACACATGCTGTTGTTGCATTCCGCAACTGAGCCGAAAATTTGGAAGACTGTCACATACAACTTTGGGGCAAAAGCTACATACAGAAGTGTGGAATTCATATTGAGGCCAGCTGATCACCAAGCTGACCCTCTACGTTAAATTAGCAAAGGGAAAACTTGCCAAGGACCAACCACGGCGACAATTGACGATGAGTGACTACACCGAGCACACCAGATGGGACTCGAACCCACAACCTCAGCCTTAGGAGGGCTGCGCGCTATCCATTGCGCCACTGGTGCGTCCAGTTCACCCTCTTCGCTGTACTTTGACGAAACAACCCTACGGTGCACCAATTTAAGCCACCTCGGCACTTGAAAAGTCTTGCGCAGCATTTGCCAACTGCGCTCCCGATACAAAATACACTATGCTCACCTAACGTCTGATGCCGCATGCGAACGTTATGTTATTGCGTCAAGCACTACTCTGCTACTCTGCTGTACATACGAAAGGGCGAGTCCAACTACGAAGTGGACCATTAGG